ATTTTTTTTATAATTTTTTTATAATGTAAAATTCGAATTCGTTTTGTAAAATTGGCCCTTTGCATAAATAAATATTTTTATAAGTCAGTCAACCCATCTTTCTCTATTCCTCTATTTCCTATTTGGCAACATTTCTTCCTCAACACATGTATTTTGTAAACAAAAGTTTTGCAATGCATTAGAATCTTCCTTTTTCATAATTTTTAATATTATAATAAAAAATTATCATTGTGCAACAGTTTCATAAATGGTAATATTATTGAAAACTTGAAAAAATTAGTATTAATTAGATTGTTTCTGGAAATGTCGTATCAAAAATAATCACGTGAATGTAATCAAACTATTTTTCAATGCAGGAATTGCTACTTGACAAAATATTTTGGAGATCAATTTCGTAAAAGTGCACAAAAGATGACAGCAATTTGCTGTTTCTCTTATGGTCTGAAAGTAGTTATAACATATAAACAAAACTTATTATGATCTGGAATCTATACTACGTAACGTTTACTATATTCGTAAATAAGCATCTACTTAATATTTTAATTTATATGCATTTATAGATAAAATTACTATTACTTATCAAATAATCTCTTACAATAAAAACGTGAACCTACTCTGGAAATAACGTAAGTTTTATAATTATTCATTATCGTTATTTCGACAACTACAACTTGTAACTACCATGTTTGACAAGTACCGGAGAACAGCTTGACCTTTTCTATCACAATAAGCTACTGGAATTTTCGTCATCTTGTTTGGAGCACAGCATCGATCTCTTGTTTCGACTTCTTGTCTCCTGTAAATAATTTCCTAAAATAAGAAAACATTTATTGAAAAATAAAAAATTAAAGTAACCAGCATCTTATTGTGTGACCAGATAAAACTTCATTAAAAATTTTTCTCGAAAAATACCTAAAAAGGATGTTAACTAACTTAAGACTTTTTTGTAAAACTTACTCGAATATTGGAGTATACTGTAGAAACATACTCCTGTTTTTTACAGTAGCCTAAGCATTGATAAGCGTTGTAACTTTTAGGTCCAATAAGTTGTAGGCCCAACTCGTCAAAATCAATGTGCATATCATGCCTGTCGCATGGGTGGATGCTTGCATTGTAGCGTTCGTAACTGCCATTCTTCCACGAATTTGAAATTTCCCGCTTTGATCTAGACCCAGTGGATTCCGTAGAGGATGTTCTTTCAATCTCAAGCTCATCTTTTTTGTCACAACTCGGTTTTGGTTTATTGCGTTCCTTAAGAATTTTATAAACTTCTTCTGATGTAATTTGCCTCCTTTTTGGTGAGAATTCTACAATGAAATTT